GTGTATAGATTCATGTACTCGTCACATGACTCAGAAGATGCTTCTAAATTGTATTTAGCCTTATCAAGAAATTTGTATAGATTCATGCACTCATAAATCAAAAAAATATGAACCATTGACTGATAGGAACAACATATATGACAACAGTTGGTAACCAAATTGCAAATATGTTAGAGCATCTCATATCTTAAGTAGATATTCTATTTTTAATAAATAGGTTAAAAAGGAGGAGAGAGAAGCAAATACGTTTCTTGGTTGAGATATGTTTTTCATAGTTTATGTACAAATGTTATTTAGTTAGTGGTTAAATTACTAAATAAAAATTAAAATCTTAATTTTTTTTTTTTAGAGACTATCAACCGTATCTAGCGTTAAAGATGCCTTTATATCGTAGATAAATAGTTGAACTTTTATCACATTTAGAATAATAATTGTTTATCATTTTACAATTAGTATTTTGAAACTGAAAAATTGTAATATATGTTTACTAATTTTTTACATTATTAATTTTAAAATATTTATCAATGCATTATATTACTTTTAAAACTATTTAAGCAAAATTCTATTACATTGTTTTAACTTATTATACAATTTAACCGCTAAAATTCTACTAACCAAATTTAATATTGAACAAATTTTTGTTAACGAATTGCTTTCTCTAACTATTATTTTTAACCGCCTTATTTCTAGTCATCTTCTTTACATCCGCTCAAAATTCTTTAACCGTTTTGTTTAAACATGATCATCAATCTCTCACCGCTATCTTTCAATTCATTATTAAGGCTCAATGGTTACCATTGAATGGTATTTGTTATCCACTGTGATTTAATTTCCTTTGATTTTTGAGAAATTTTAAAAAATGCCATTTTTCAAGTGCCACTTTACAAAAATGCCACACTTTTGAAATCTTTACAAAAATGCCATTTTTTCAAAATTATATTTTTTATATTATTTATGTTTGGGTTAATTATGTTCTATTAGGGTTTAGTTTTGAGTGTTTAGGGGGTTTTAGGTGTCAAAACATTT